AAAAAAAAAAAAAGAGATTTACATTTTAACAGGATAGACAAAGAATTTACACTTTCTCCAAAAATAAACATCCTCAGAAAGGAAGATCAGGGGTCTAGATGCAGGAAGAAGCCTTGTCTGTAGACCTGTCAGTCTGAGGGAACATTAAACCTGTCTTCACGGTCATCTAAAAAGCAGAGGCCATAAAGCTTAAGGGGCCAATGTATAACCTCCATGGTCTCTTGTTGCCACTGTGGTTGCTGAAATTGCAGGACCAAGAGCTTCAATAGCTTTGGGCTTTCTGTAACCATGAACAGTACAAGCTCAACTACTGATCTGAGTGGGGTGCAGTCAGTGAGCAAAGTATGTGTTTATTTTAAAGCACTAATATTTTGGCTTCTTTTGATATGGGAGCCTGGTCTGGCACTGCCTGAGTAAGGCAGACACTGGTTTCAGGAGTGGAGGGCCACCAGAGTGACACAGCTCCTCAATTTGGCGTGTAGGGTGCAATTAGCAGAGGCTGGCGATGTCACTCTGAGCAGGAGCAGAATGTTCGGTAACACCATGTCTATGAAATGTTTTATGAAGCAGATTCCATGTCCAATTATTTTGTAGCTGTAGGGAAAGAGGTCAGAAAACAGAAAATTAGTGTTTGGGGGTTTTATTGACTAAATTTTATCTAGTATTACCAGCAAGATCAGATAATGAAAGAAGAGCATTGCTGAAAAGCAGAAATAAAAGCAGAAATAAAAACATTCTGGAATTTTTTTGTCCTTGATGCTATGAGGCTCAAACAGTAGAAGATATAATTGATAAAAGTTTTGAGAGACTCTACATCCTATCAAAACTCAATATTGTGGTAAGTTGAAAATTAAAGTGTAGCTTTGCCATTTATTGCTAAAAATTCTCACAGGATTCAAGAGCCTCAGGGCAAAGATCATATTACTGATAGGGAGGGACAGTTAAACCTCAAAATTGAATTAACTTATTTAGAGAAATTCAGGCTAGAGCTTTTTCCCAGAAGCCCAAGTATTAGACTTACCAACTTAAAATTTAAAGACAGAGAAGGAGGTAGCAGTGAGATGTTGTGTATATAAGCACACAAAAAGTATATCTTTATCAGAACCGTGGACATAAACATTCACTAGCATATTCAATGAGCTAGCCTGAAATAGATAAAAATGTTTACTCTGTTTTGAGAAAAATTGCTAAAATAATTGCAACCCTGAAACAATAATAGTTAAAATTTCTATTTAGAAATAACTGTTACTACTATATATTGTTAGGTAGATAGCAAGGGTCCTAAGACTCTCCTAGGGAGGGAGAGTGGCCTTGCTCTTGTCCTTCTGGCAAGAGCTGGCAATTGCTCCAGCTGGCACCTGGCAATTGCTCCAGGTGCCACTAAGGCAAGGAACCACCTCCATGGTGGTTTCTGAAGCATGAAGAGAGCCCAATTAGGACAGTATAAATCATGACCTCAGAGTATTACCAAAGCATCTTGTCACAGCAAGGGGCCCTCTTGTCATCTGTGGTGAATGCATCTTGTTCCTTACATCTCTGTCTTGCCCTTGCTCTGTATATTTATCTTTTTCTTCCTCAATAAATCTCATTTAATGCTTGCCTTGCTTTTGGTGGGTCATTTTTCACCCAAGGGCATACCAAGAACCAAGAACACAGAACAGACTGCCAACCTGACATCGACTTTTGCCCTTTCCCCTAAATTTCTGTAGTTAATCTTGAGTTTAGAGAGCTGAACAGCCTCAGTATCCGTTGTTTTGCTTTTTGCAGTTTCAGTTATCAATGGTCAACTGCAGTTCAGAACTATTAAAGGGATGATCATTTTGTGGGTCATAAGCACGATGAGTGGGTGTTCACACACATGCATGAAATGTGCCTCCCTCAAAACTTGTAACAACATTAGCACATTACTATTCTGAGATGAAAAATATGCATATATTAAAATGAACAGTTCCAAAAATGAGCAATCCATAAATTGGACATTGCACACTATTCTGAGTAACATGATAGAATTTTCACAGCAGCCTACTCCATCCTCCCTCAGCTGTGAATTCTGCCTTTGTGTAGCAGAGCCACACTGTCTGTGCTACCCACCCATTACTCACTGAGTAGTCATCTGATTATCAGATCAACTATTCTGGTACACCAGTGTTTGCATTCTAGTAACCCTTATTTTACTCAGTAGCCTCAAAGTGCAAGAATAGTGATGCTGGCAATTGAGGTATGACAAAGAAGGATTCTGGTACTTGGGGATGAGAGTCCACCAGCCTTTTCATTTGCTGGCAAATTAATAAACTTCACTTTCTTTCTCTTCCAACCACTTGTACTCATTCTTCTGAAGCATCCTCAAGATCAAATGCCAGACTTTTAGGAACAGCATTTGGCATCCTTGGGTGGGCCCACCGGTGCCCCTGTGGAATGGCATCCAACAACTGCTGGAAGATACAGAGAGAAGCCCCAGGTGAAAGCTGTGGGTTTTTGCAGGTAAGAGCAACTTCATTTCCAGATGAGATAGCAAGGACACCTTCCCACTCCCAGCAGCTGCCAGAAACTTTTTTAGCTTCATGAAACTCCTTTCTGTATCTCCTGAAGTAGATGCAGGAAAGAAATGGATTTGGAAAATGTTTGGATGCCAGGACTTTTGTTACCTACATTCCCCCAGTGTGCATGCTGAGACTCTGTTTCCACCCATATGTGGGATTTTTGAATCTTCCCATTGGTTTAATTTGTTTTCAGGTGTCTTTTAAGGGTGGAAGTCATGAGGCTGAGTGGAACTAGGAAACCTGGTTTGAATTTGGAACTCATTTGTTTTTCCCAGAGAATCAGAGGTTAGGCCACTCATTTGGGGAGGATTCCAAACTTTCCAGAATTTGGATGGTGTTTATCCATTTTGGATCCATCAGCATTTGGGTGGTGTTTATTCCCTTTGGATTCCCACCAGCATTCAGGCTGGCATTTATCACCTTTGGATTTCATTTGTTAATCTTTCAGTCTTGTCGGGCATTTGAGGAACCACGGTAGGTGCCATCTGGGGTGGTGTTTCTTGTCTTTCCCATTTGTTTCTAGATACTGGCATTTTGAATCAGTGTGTTACTTTTTGTGACAACATAAGGAAGTTCTTTCTCAAGTCCCTTGGGACTAGTCAATTGCAATTAAAAATGATTGAGAACTATTAGGAATAAAAATTGTTAAAAAATATGTTATATTCTAAAGTCCAGATCCAAAACTATGACTAAAATTTCAAATTATTAGTATATGTATACTCAATCTTACACTAATCCCAAAAAGAAACATGTTCTGAATATGATACTTTCTTAATTGATCCATTTTTTTCCTAACACAGGAAATGGTAAATATTCTGAAATACGAATTTTATGTAGTACCCCATGCCAGGTTAAAAGCTTTATTTATGAAGTTAAAAATATAAAATATAGCTCTTGAGGATTCTCAAAGATGCATCTGGTGGATGAGGGAGAGAGTGCGAATTAATCGTGATTACCTAACATCTATTTAATAATAGTCGTCAGACTTTTTGTACAGAGTATTTTATAGAAGCAAAAGCCTGTTTCAGATGCATGCAATCCATTCTGAATAACATGTTTAATTTACAGAAATATGAAAAAGAGAAAAGAAATAGTTTTTCTTCATAAAATTAACACAGAGATACTACCCCCACTTAGAGCATCTTAGGCCCAAATTCTTATCCTAAGGTTTCTTGCACTAGATGTGACATTGAAACTAATGGATTTAGATAGGACATGGAGTCACTATGTGCTCCTTGTAATAAATGCAGTGAAGTAAGATGCAGCTGGCCAGTAGAGAGATGACCTGACTTAGTCTAGTTTGGTGCAAGAGAAAGAAGTTGATGTCAACAATTATTTATATAAGTTAATTATCTCCTGGAAATTTAGCTAATTCATACTGCAAGGGATAGAAATTTCCATTAACAGCAATTGGCATAATAGTCTACCTTTAAACTCTAGAGAAATCAGTTGAAAAGCTATTATTTCTAGGAATTAGATTCACTAGAGTGCCCAGTTACAAAGTAAAAGAACAAAAATCAATAATGATACAAGTTGTTCATCCTTCAGATTATCAGTTTAAATATCATCCTCTAGATGAAATTTCATCACTCTCACACCTTTGACTTGTCCTTCAACATTTTTATTGCCATGGTGATATTGTAATTATCTACATATGATTTTATAAAAATTATAATTTTTTTATTTCCAACCAAAGAGGAGAGGATTTTTTTAAAAATGTGACTACATTTTTCTAAAGTTCGCTGGGAATAAATCAGGGCAAATATTGATAGAAACATTTTTATAAAGGAAAATGAGAAGCAAATATACCAACATGAATTACATGGGTTGGTACTTTACTGAAAATTGTGTGACAATAGCTCAGGAAAAGAAAAACATCTCACATAGCAAAACATTTGGATGAGTAAATGAATGATTAAAGATCACTAATATTTCACACATTACAGAACTGATAAGGGTATCTTTTTTTAATTCCAGTATGACAAGTAGGTACGAATGTTTTTGTCATATGGCTTGAGCAGGGCTATAAAGGTGCCCATCACCAGGGGGAGCATTTATTATACCTGTTAGGTAATTTTTCCCCTCTGCTCCTCTTCCTGTCCTCTGCTTAATTTCTAATGACTTATTTCAATATTATATCTTTTTGCTCATGTCAATAATCTATGCTTAAAGCCTTGAAGAATAGCAAGTTTCTGACTCAGGGTAAAATATTAGCTATTATGCATGAAAATATTAACTTTGAAACATAACCATAAACCAAAGGTTCTAAGCTAAGTCCTTCCAGCCCCTTTATAAAGCACTGACTCATTCATGATGGTGGAGATCTCGTGACTTGATCACTCCCTAATGGCCCCACCTCTTAATACCACCACAGTAGGGATTAAGTTTCAATACATGAAAGACATTCAGACCACAGCATTCTGGTCCTGGCTCCTACAGTCATGTTTCTCTCAAATGCAAAAGACATTCATTCTATCCCAACAGCCCCCCAAATCTTACCTTTCTCAGCATCAACTCAAAAGTTTAATGTCAGGAGTTTTATGTAAATTAGATATAGATCAGACTCTATGATTCAACCTGAGGCAGATTGCTCTCTGTGAAAGTGTAAAACCAAATAAGTTATATGCTTCCAAGCGCAATGATGTGATAGGCCTAGAATATACATTTCCATCCCACAATAAATAAATAGGGCAGAATGCAGGTCCCAAGTTTGTCCAAACCCAACCATGTGAACATTAAATCTTAAGGCTTTCTTCTATGTCCTTCCAAACACACTATACTGGGGGAGTTGGGCCTCCAAGGCATTGGGTAACTTCAGTCCCCATGGCTTTTCTGGGTGTGTGTAGGCCCCGATTCAGTTCTTACACATTAAACTTGCATGCGTGTGGCTTTCCTATGCTAACTCTGAATGCTGGTGGCTCTATAGTTCTGAGGTTTCGAGAGTATCCCCCTTGGTTCCACTATTCCTTGCCTGGGGTGGGGGGCTTTCTACAGTGGCTCTGAGACCATGACCCCACTGGTGATTGTCTTAGCAAAACTCTTTGCAATAGCCCACCCTTGTGGGTGTTTTCTGTCTCAGTCCTGAAACTCTCTAAAATATACTATGAAATCTCTGTGGGGGCAACTGTGCCTTCTCAGCTTGTGCATTCTGCATGCCTGCAGAGTTAGCACCACATGAGACTTCTTACTGCCTGTTACTTCCACATCAATAGCCTGAGCTGCACTTGTGCCTACTTGAGCCACAGGTAGGGCAGCCCCTGAGCACTGCACTGGAATGAGGGGACCAAGGACTTGAAATGGCCCTGGATAGCAAGAACTGAGGTCCAACAAGACCATAGATTCCTTTCTTGAAACTCTTCTGTCCTCGAGGCCTTGTTACTTTGGGCCTGTGGTGGGAGTAGCAACCTCAGAGATCTCCGAAGTGCCTTCAGTTTTCCTCTTCCATTGTTTTGACGATTAGCATCTGGCTTCCTTTTACTCATTCCAATATCCAGATCATAATTGTTCTTGTCTATACCCCCAAATTAGGTTTTTATTTCATTAGAATGCCAGACTGAGAATTTTTCCAAATTTTTAAGTTCTGCTTCCTGTTTTATTATAAATCACATTGTAATTAATTTCTTTCTTCTCATATTTTGCTATTAGCTGTTAGGAGAAATCATGCAATGCCCTGAACAGTTCGCTTAGAAATGTGTTTTGCAAAACATCCTAATCCATTACTTTTAAATGGATTCATAAATTCATTTAACTGTTCTCCATAAATCATTAGCACACAAATATAAGTTAGCCATATTAGTTGTCATCTTTCAGTAATGATGGCCTTTTCTTCTATTTCTACTAAAGTAGTCATTATTTCTGTCTAAGACTTCATCAATGGCCTTTATAGTCAATATTTCTGATTATGATCCCTTACCGAATCTCTAAGATGAGTGAGAGAGGTTTTCCTCTAGCTCCTCTCTTCACTGGAGCCCTCACCAGAATTGTCTTTAATTCTTCCTCTAGCATTCACCTCACAACTATTCCAGCCTCTATTCTCCACGCAGTTCCAAAGCCACTGCCTCATTTTTAGGTGTCTTACAGCAACTGTCATCTCCTTTGGTGCCAATTGCAATCTGTGTCTGTTTGTGTTGCTATAACAAAATACATGTGACAAGGGAATTTATAAATAACATAAATGTATTTCTCACAGTTTGGGAAGGTGGAAAGACCAAGACTAAGGCAGCAGCAGACGTGATTCCCTATCTGATGAAAGCTGCCACCAAGGTGTCCTCACATAGCAATAGGAAAGAAAAGGGTGATAGGAAACGAACACTCTTTCCCAAGGAACAGAACAGTGGGAGACCAAAAAGCCCCTGAGCTAGCCACCTCCAGCCCTTTT